ACCACCTACCACTGCCCCCGGCCTGCGGGTTCGCGCTCCACACCCATCGGCACATCTCGAGACCCGCCCCGGCAGCCAGCCATCTGACGCGCACCGCCTACCACTGCCCCCGGTCACGCTCCATCCATCGGCACTCTCGAGACCCGCCACCGGCAGCCAGCCATCTGACGCGGCACCGCCTACCACTGCCCCCGGTCACGCCCATCCATCGGCACCACCCCACCCGCCACACGGCAGCCAGCCATCTGACGCGGCACCACCTACCACTGCCCCCGCCTGACGGGTAGCGCTCCACCCATCGGCACATCTCGAGACCCGCCAACCGGCAGCCAGCATCCACACGACAACCGTCTACCACTGCCCCCGGGCCACGCTCCACCCATCGGCACATCTCGAGACCCACCACCGGCAGCCAGCCATCTGACGCGGCACCGCCTACTACTGCCCCCGGGCCACGCTCCATCCATCGGCACATCTCGAGACCCGCCAACGGCAGCCAGCCATCTGACGCGGCACCGCCTACTACTGCCCCCGGGCCACGCTCCATCCATCGGCACATCTCGAGACCCGCCAACGGCAGCCAGCCATCTGACGCGGCACCGCCTACCACTGCCCCCGGCCACGCTCTATCCATCCGCACACCCGCCACCGGCAGCCAGCCATCCAACACGGCACCGCCTACCACTGCCCCCGGTCACGCTCCATCCATCGGCACATCTCGAGACCCCCCCCGGCAGCCAGCCATCCAACGCGGCACCGCCTACCATCCCCCCCGCTGACGAGTCACGCTCCACCCATCGGCACACCTCGAGACCCGCCCCCGGCAGCCAGCCATCCAACGCGGCACCGCCTACCATCCCCCCCGGCCTGACGAGTCACGCTCCACCCATCGGCCACCTCGAGACCCCGCTCCCGGCAGCCAGCCATCCAACGCGGCACCGCCTACCATCCCCCCCCCCGGCTGACGAGTCACGCTCCACCCATCGGCACACCTCGAGACCCGCCCCCCGGCAGCCAGCCACCGCGAGCGGACGCCGCAAGCCCGCTCCGTGTGCGCCCCAGCGCTGGAGCCCAGCTCCGGCCCGACGTCGCTACAGCTGAGAATGTGTTTACTAGGGCCGGCCACGGCAGAGCGCACGGACGGCGAGCGACCTTTGCGGCCGACTGTTGTGGCGTCAGCGGTGTCGGGTGTGGCCTTTACCGGCCATGGTTCCTGCTGGTCAGCCGCCCGCGATCGTCGACCGACGCTGACGGACGGCAGATCAGCCACCACAAAATTGCCTACGCTGGCGGGCTTTTGTGCCCAGGCGTTGCCAGAAACCACCGCACAGGCAGCAAATCCAGCCTATTTAGACTGCGGAGGCACCCGCGTCCCCGCAGCATCGCGCAATCAGCAGTAGCGACCCCCTGAGCTATCACCATCAATGTGCGGTTCTCCGAGTCGCCGCAATCGAGTCGCCGTCGAGCCAAGTCACATGAGGCCGGCGCCGACCGTCGCATCTAAAGTGCCGAGCCATGTCGCTCGTGACCCGCGTCGCCGGGCTCGAGCGCCGCCTTCCCGAGTGCTCGCCGCTGACTGGCGCCTGGCCCGGGCCCGCTCCCCCGAGCTGCCAGCCACCACACACCTGTACCACAACCGCTGACTGGCGCCTGGCCCGGGCCGCTCCCCAGAGCCGCCGGCCACCTCACACCTGTACCACAGCCGCTGACTGGCGCCTGGCCCGGGCCCGCTCCCCCGAGCTGCCAGCCACCACACACCTGTACCACAGCCGCTGACTGGCGCCTGGCCCGGGCCCGCTCCCCCGAGCCGCCGGCCACCACGCACCTGTACCACAGCCGCTGACTGGCGCCCAGCCCGGGCCCGCTCCCCTGAGCCGCCGGCCACCACGCACCTGTACCACAGCTCGTCCTCCGGGTTTTTGACGGCGCAGAACTGGCCGCCGGCCACAGCGTCCGGCCGCAGCGGCTGCACGTTCACCGGCTGGCTGTAGTGCTCCTGCATGGCGTGCATGAGGGCACGCAGCTTGCCGCCCTCCAGGTAAGGCTGAACCTGCGGGCCGACGACGGCCGGTCAGCGGCCGCCGCCGCGCGACGGCCGACGCACCAGCTAGCTCCGTGTGCCGATTGCGGCAACGGCACACACAACGGGCAACAAGCTTGGTGTACCTCTGGAGCACACACTAGCAGCCGTACCCTATTATTCGCACCCAACATGCGATACGTGGAACACGTCAACGGTATGCAGGAGACATTTTATTAGTTGTAGCCTGACATTTAGGATGAGGTTTTTACGCTGCAGCGGAAAGCCACGTAGACATTTCAACGTTCGTGGGCGAAACACACCTTACATAACCAACGACCACAGCAGGGCGAGCCTTCCAGGACGAGCTTTCCACAGTCCCGGCAAGCATACAACAAGAACTGCGCACTGCGCGCAATCCGCCCGTCCGGCACACGCACCCCAGCGCCGTCCGGGCACCCACGTATATGTTCCAGGGACTGGAGCAGAAGGAGACGGTGACGTCGAGGTAGCCGTCACCGTCGCGCTGTACGCGGTATTGCTCGACGGGCTGCAGCTGAAGCCGGCCGAGCGCGGCGTCGGCCGCGGGTTGGGCGTCGGGCGGCGGCCGGGGCGAGGCCAGCCGCAGCAGCTGCTCCGTGGGGCTGGGGGAGCCGCGCCAGGAGCCGCCCGCCGGCAGCGAGCCGTCGAGGACTGGCGAGAGACGGACGGCGCCGCCGCCGCCCCGAAGCCGTGGAAGACTGTCGGGAGACGCGGTCCGCCCGGCTGTGGGAGGGCACCGGCCGGGACCGCTGAGGTCGACACGAGGAGTGCGTGCGAAAGAAGGTGGCGGGGGCTACACGTCCAATTGTGAAACAATCGGCCTGGCGGACTTAAAGCCCCTTCCGCCGCATTCTATACACGGCCATCTGACAGTTTACCCCCTCCACCCGTCACTACGCAAGCCTGACGCCACTGGCAGAGTGGTTTGCCGCATTCTATAGACGGCCATCTGTCAGTTTACCCCTCCAGCCGTCACTACGCAAGCCTGACGACGTCATTGCAGAGGGGTTTTCGACTCGACAGCTGAACGGTAGTGGAGCGTTGCTGCGCTGGCTCCGAGCCAGGCCTCCCGGCACCAAGTCCAACGCAGCTCCACCAAAGGGCCGCCTGACGTAATCGCTGTGTGGCATAAGTCTGACACCACGCCAGCCTGGCGCACCAGGGGGAGCGCCGAGGGGCGGCAGAGCGGGCGGCCCCGCCCACGCACCCAAACCGGCAGTGTGCTGGCGGCGCCAGGCAGGGCGCCTCATCAGAGGAGGCGCCGCGCCACCGGCCGGGGCCAGCGAGCCTCACCTGGACATGTGCGCCTCGACGGCGAGCGTGGCGTTGATGGAGACCAGCTCGTTGTTCTCCAGCCTCTTATACGCCTCAACCTCGGGGACGCCGGCGGCCGGATTGGAGGTCACGCGGAGCACCACCCGTGTGCCGTCCCTCGGCACCTGGCACAGCACACACCGACGTCAGGTCACACGGCACGCCACCCATTAACGTGGGGTCACTGTACGCTGCCGCGACACGCCTGTGACACTGCCTGTGTGCTTGATGTAACGTCATACAGGTACGCTCATGTACATCGACGGCTGGGTTCACTAGTCGCTGTTTTCCGCTGATGATTGACAGCACAAATATGCCCGCCAGCAAAAACAAACAAACCCTCACCTCAAGGTCGGACCATTGCCCATTGTGCTGTGAAGTGCAACTACACACATCGCCGTTATTGGACACTGGACCGTCGTTTCCACGCACTTCTCTTACTGCTACCAAAAGGCCAAAGGCGATGTGACGCCACTGCACCAAACACAGCCTCATACAGCGCACTCCGCGGCTGGAGGCTCGCTCCTGCACGAAGCACTGACACGCTGTCCGCGGGACGGCCCACGTCGCCTCTTTCACCGCTGCAGCACACCGTACCAGCGGCGGGCGGCGCCGCACCACAGTGTACCAGCGGCGGGCGGCGCCGCACCACACCGCACCAGCGGCGGGCGCGCCGCACCACACGTACCCAGCGGCGGGCGGCGCCGCACCACACTGCACCAGCGGCGGGCAGCGCCGCACCACACCGTACCAGCCGCCGGCGGCGCGCACCACACCGCACCGCACCCAGCCGCCGGGGCGCCGTACCATCTCCGTGAGCCGGAGCGCAGCGCCGTCGGTCATCTGGACGCCGCTCAGCCGGACGGTCAGCGCCTGGGCCGGGTGTCGCAGCGTGGGCCGGCAGCGCGCGCAGCTCCGAGAGCGGCACCACCGACGTTTGCCGTAGTCCACGAACAGGACAGACGCCTGAGGCGGGCACCGCCGTCAGGGGCCGTGCCACGGTACGTGAGACGAGGTGCGGTAGCCCGTTGGCCAGACCGGCACGCGTGGCGGTTAGGGACTCACAAAGAGGCACGGGGGGGGGGGACAGGCACCCTCTGTGGCGATGAAGGGCCGCCATGCAATGTTGGTCTAACACAAAGGTGGTAACTGCTACGGAATCAATGCAGCGCCGGTACCGCCATATCGCTCCGATACCCTGTACCTCTCACCACCTCCCACAGGGGCGACGTCCGGCCCTCCCGTGACCTCCTCCCGGGGCGGCGCTCCTCCCCTCTCCCCTCACCCCGGAAGCATGAGCCCACCCCGCGTCCGTCTCACCGTGTCCTGCTGGGGCGGCGCCTGCACGCACGCCCGGTACCAGCTGCCGTCCGAGTAGCGGGCCAGCAGCAGCGTGCCGGGCGCCGCCGGGACGGGCGCCGCCGGCGCCGCGGACGCCGCCTCGCCGGCCGCCGCCACGCGCTCGCACACCTCGTGCGCGTCGGCCGTGTCCAGCTGCACGAACACGTCCCCCGTCTGGGCCGACACGTGCACCACGAACGCGTCCACGATGCCGCCCGCCTGCCGGCCGAGCCAGGCGCAGGGTCGGCAGCCGGCCAGGGCTGGTGTGGCCACCGAGGCCGGTGGTGACCGGCGGCGGTACGGACGGCG